GTGAGAGACAGCGACTGAGCTCATCCCTATCAATGTTTGGGGCCGCATTCTGTTAGCCAAAATCCTACGTCAAGATACTCCATGTGAGTGCAATGTTGTAGGTGTCCCAGCCACATTGGAAGGGCGATTTGTGGAGCGGCCCGCTGCAACCAAAGCGCCTCGTAGAAAGGTGTTGGCACCAGCATGATGCAACTACGCAACCCAATTGGCCTGACTTCATGATTGCCGTTGGATCCACCCTCTAGCCCCCGCGCTTATGCGCGCTCTGTCTTGGTTTATTTCGTTCTGTAAAGTAGACCCTCGCTTCTGACAATCCTTCCGCCGTGCAGTTGAGCTTCCACAACACCTGGGCATCGGAGTGGCGCTCCAGGGTCACTTGGAGCGCTTTTGCAAGATGAATAGCGTTTTGCACACTCAGCTTGATATGACTGCCAAGATTCACTAATACCGTGCGTCTTTGAAGCAGCCAAGAATCCAGTTGAGGGTCTTGCTCCTGAAGCTGGGGGTAAGGGATCGTCAAGGGACCACAGCAAGTCAGGTTATCCGGTATATGTTCGTAGTGGAAATCTGTTGCAGGCTGGCCCGGTAGTACTTGCAGAGGCACGCACTGGACTTAGCAACTTGAACAGACACCGCAGTGCAGCTCAGTACGTCGGGTTTCGGAGTCGGAAACTTTACAAAAGGACACTTACTGTAATGCTCATCTTTTCGGTATGTCTCGAACATTGGGAACTGCCCCTCTAGATGTAGACTCCGGCGGGTCAATAACAAGGCGGAGAGCGTCGAGGAAAAGTAGAGCGCAAGCAGAAGCCTGATTGTCAAGTATATATTCGCCGGTATGAGGGAAAGTGGTATGGGGAACGGAAACCCCGAGCCAATACTAAGGGGAACAAGTATTGTTAGCGGAGTTATGAGCATTGACAGACGGTGTAATGGTGGTCTTACACAGGATACTTCCACATTATGGCACCATGGGGCTGTATTCCTGCGATAACGCCCCAAAGTCCCGATGGGGTTATGACAAAATAGGGCGTGGATCCATTTCTGCATACGTCCAGCCCTGCCCAGAATTGTGCGTCAACAACAATCAGGGCGGGACAAGTCTCTAGAATGCAGTTGCGGCAGGCCTCAATTACCAGTCTATACTGGTCATTGTTGTAGGTGGCAACAATCTTTGGG